TATATATATATATATATATATATATATATATCTCTTTGTGCTATCTAACCAAAAAAAGAAGGCAATGAGATACTGATTGATGAGAAGATCAAGAGAAACGAAAGTATTAGCAAATACTTTAACGTATATATAAGAAATTGAGTCACCTGCAAGTCTTAAAATCCATTTATCTTAAATTATTTACTATAACGTATTCAAATGCATCTGAGTTAATTAGTCTCTCAACAATTGTCAATGCTAATCCATATTTAAAGTAAAAGCCTCTGGTTAATCCGTCACAGGTCATTATTGAGCGTATAAACATTGAGATACATAAGGTGTGCTTTGTGGAAGGAAGACAAAAAAAATACTTCTTGGGCTAAGAAATAGTACATCCCCAGAATATATACTAAGTCAACATAAACCATTAATAAATTCCACAGCAAATTTTTGGAATAGAGTCAGGAAAGCATAAGATATCGCGGATTAAGTTTTTGTTGGAATCTAACATAAAGCATCTGAATTTGACTACCATTTTTCAAGGAAGATTACCGACATCATGATACAGAAACATCTTATTAACTTCTAAAAATTTTGGCATGCATCAAAAAAGCTACTAGAATTTCACAATAGTTGGGCAGTCTTCTCAGAACATGATCAATAATAGGTGACTATATATCTTGGTCATCTGTAATATGGTAATTTAACAAAGCCACAATATTAGAAAAATTAATCAGTACTAGAGTATCTAAAATGGTAATTTAACAAAGCTTACCACGAGAAATGAAAACAAAGTTATCATGAAGAAATCTAAATATATGGTACAAATGTAATGTAGGCCATGCCTGGGACATACTTCTTGGTTCATCTGAGATTAAGGTAAAGCTTCCCTCATTTAATGCAACATTTGCAGTTTGTGACTAGTGATGGTAATTTTGTATGCCAAATATCTACAACGATAGGGCCGAAAAGTTTTCTAATATTTATCGTCTGTGTGGATATGATGAACCATCCAACATGAAGAGATGGTACCTTGTGATTGTAATCACAGCCAAAGTAGATCAGCGTGATGCCACCGGCTCCAGCATCTCGCACTCAAAATTTGTGTGCTCCAAGAACGGACCCAAACTCACAAGCTTTGGGACCATGATATTGTTCCTAAAGGCACAAACCAGAGAGTTGTCCCACTGCAACAGAGAACCCACGAGACTAGAACGTGCCGTCAATGGAAAAATACGTGCCCATCTCTCCTGGCTGTAGTCCTGCATTGCTGCATCCACCGAGTCCTGCCCACCCTCGATAGCAGCCGCTAATTTTTTGGCCAGAACCACAGAATCTTCTAGTGCACAACAAGCTCCCTGACCGAGATTGGGAGTCATGGGATGCCATGCATCACCGACCACCACCACCCCGTTTGATGAGGCTGACGGGGTAAGACCTGGCCAAAGCCATCGGTCAACCAGCGGAGTCTTGATAACTGAATCATCTGGGGTATTCTGCATGACATCCAGTAGCTCCATAGGCCAGCTTCTTACAAGATTGAGAGCTTCTTGCTTCAGAACAGCTGGGTCACTGATCCTTGGCCCTGTTTCAGAACTTATAATGTGAGAATATGTTATTAATTTAAGTCAAAGAATGCTCACCTATCACAATTCAGATGTCTCATATGAGTACGTTTCTTGTCCGTTATAGATTTTCTTCTCTTTTAATTTACTCTTCATAACTTGATTCAAGGTGTCATATTCTAATTTTTCTTGTCAAAAGAAAGTGAAAAGAAATTTAAAAAAACCAAAAGCAGTATGACACTAAGATGATGATTACATACTCAAGAATTAAACCTAATTTAACATGATAATATTCGAGATAATGCTAACTCATCCTTATTGAGAAAATAGTATGTACAATCAGCAGAAACAGATCTTTTCAGAAATCCAAGACAGTCAATCAAAACATAAGAATTTTAGAACTGGAAAGTTGAAGTAAACAAAATAACATAACAAGCAAAGTTTTACATGCAGACCTGGTGATGTACCGTTGAAGCAGATGAACCAATAAACTTTAGTGGGAGAAACTGGAACAAAACCAGCACGAAGACCCCTTCCATAGATGTAGTTCACTTTTGCTTTGTATGGGTGGCCACCAGGATATATTCCGAGGCCACGGAAGGCACAATGTCCTACATACTTGGGTTCTGAAAACCCCATCCATTTTGCTACTGGTGAACGGACTCCATCACAACCAATAACTATCTGTTAACAACCAAGCACCTGACGATGTTAATATAAAGTGCATACGTCAAATAAGTCTTTGACTTCTCCAAGGAAACAAAATAAATAGACATGATATTGCTTCAAGAAATAAGGAACAGAACATTAATTATGTAAAAAAAAAACATGTGTTTAAAACTAAAAATTAGCTTGCTGCAAT